AATTTTACAAATCATTAAAAATATCATTTAGATTGATATTAGTTATTAATTAACTATAAAGTAATTGTAATAAATTTTAGTGTTTATATTTTTCTTTTAATTTTTTTCCTATATAATTTTGTAATATTATATTAATGGGATATATATTATATATTAATATTATGAAAAATCATAAACCACGTGCAACGCACGTGTCACTTACTAGTTAATATAAAAAAATGTATATATTTTTTTCTAAAACAAATTTTAAAAAAATAGTTAATAGTATTGCTACTACTATGCCAACTATCTGCAGGTGCTATAGTTGGTATAGTTACCATTTTTTCTAAATTTTTTTTACGAAAAACATATACATTTTTTTAATATTAACTGGTAAGTGACACGTGCGTTGCACGTGGTTTAATTATTTTTCATAGTATTAATATATAATATATATTCCAATTATAGCACCTGCAGATATGATGCTTCCCCACTACACCACAATGAGCATTTTCTAACACTACAAATTTATGATTTCTAACGGATATTTTCCCTTAGGAATGTCTAACGGATATATCCGTTAGAAATTAAGTTGTAACAATTATTGTGCGTTGGAATTACACGGACTCGAAATAATTGTGTTATATATTAATTGCAACGGATAAATTCGTTATAAATCTATCTCTAACAAGTATTACTCAAATTATTTTATGAATTATTTAATTTTGATAAAAAAAATGGAAATAAATGTATTGATAATTATTCCATAATTAAATATATAATTAATTTAATCAAATTTCATACAACACCAATTTTATTAAATAATATTTTTTTTTGATAAAGTAAAAGGTGGTTGGAGGCCTATTTCTCCGTCATTTCCACTCCTCCATTGAAAAAAACAGATCTCATCTCTGCTCTTCCTCACACGGCGGATAACAACCACCGCCCACCGCCAGCATGTGCTTCAGCCACCACCAATCGCTCCATCGGTTTAGGTAAGGGATCTTTCTCTTTGTCTCTCTTGAATTAACACTCCTCTTTTCGATTAAATGTTAGGGTTTTCACTGAAGAAACTCTAAATCGAATCCTCTGTTCAATTGAATGTTGGGATTTTCGTTGAAAATCTATAAATCGGATTTTGTTCTCAGTCATTGTATGACTATCATTGTATTTTCTCTTCGTCTTACTCTCTTTCTCGTTTTCGTCTCCCATTCTCTAATCAATTGTTAGGGTTTATGCTGAAAAGCTCTAAATTGGATTTTGTTACCAATTCTTGTTGTGTTAATCATTTTGTTACCAATTTTTTAACAAAAAAATTACAGGTGAAGGGAAATTTTCTTCACCATTGCAATTGGTACTTATGTTCTGATTGTTGTAGTTTGGGGAGTAAACTATGGAAGTAAAAGGTGATTTCTCATTTTTCAATTTAAAAGGGGATTCTTTTTTGTCATAAATTAATTTTTATCATTTAAACTCAACAAATGTTGGAATTATATTTGTCTGAGGATATATGGTGCAAAATTATTCTAGATAAATCTAGGTTGAAATCATGTGCCTTTACCCTGTGTTATTCTGGAACTCCATTCTTTTAATCATACTCGACAATATTTGTTTCTATTAAGTCGGTATTAAAATTTAGTTTTCTGCTAATATCCAGCGTCTTACATAGACGAAAAAAGAAGTGATTGAATGATACTCCTGTAAAACATTTCTTCAGTTTTATTTAGAATTGATGCTAATTTCTTAGTAAGTCTACTCATTAATTTCTTAACCAGAACTTGCTAAAGCATGGTGGATCGATCAGCCGGCTATTTTCATTTTTAAGTTCTGATTGTTATTATGGTTTCGTATTGACTTTTTTTTTTTCTTTTTTTTTTCTCCAGTGGACTGAGTGGGGAAAAATTACCTACAGATGGGAAACACATAAAGCAATAATATGGTACTTTCAGCGATGATCCAAGGAGCAAATAGATCCCCGGTAACATCTATGAGCTAATGATCATTTAATTTCTACTATTATATATTTTTCTTCTTTCTAATGAGTTGTTTAATCTGGTAGTGGTATTGTCTAGAATATATACTACTCAAGTGTATGCATTTGTGTGAAAGATTATTGGCCAGTAATACTTTTCCATATAATGGTATGTGGTTGAATTTTTTAATTACACTGATTATATTATTAATTGCAGGTGTGTTTAGCTCGAGGTTGATACATGCTAACATTTTGACGGACACACAAACAATTTTTCAGAATCATTATGTGAGTGAATGCTAGCAAGGATGATATAAACTTTTGATTTATTTAGAGTTCATTATCTACGTGGTTAATTTACTTCTGATCCATGTATAAGTTTTTTGTACGATGAATCTATTTATGACTGATGAATACTTCTTTTATTTTGCAGATGTTTTCATGAAAAAATATATGAAGCCAATGTGTGTTGACGATGACAAAGAAGTTGTTACTCATAATTGCTAGAGCTTCAGTGATCTTATGAAGGATCTTGGGTACATGCATCTA